TATCAGTAAGATGCCAGGTGTGCTGGCTGTACATTGCAGCGATCAGTTGATTGAAACAAAGCATATTTCTTCGCTTGTTTATTCATTGTAAGCAGAGTACAGACCGCACTCAACCAGACCAAACCTGCAAAACCTAAAGTCTACCAACTAGATCTGTTACAATTGCCGCATAGCACTTGCTGAGCAATCCTGAATGCAGTATTAATACTAGTTAATACTAGTAACCAACCTAAGATAAATATTCATAGTTATAACATGCCTCATTTACATATGGTGGAAGGGGGACACATTCATATGCAGAGACACATTCTCTGCAACCAAAAATAATATATTCCATTCTTGCGCCTTTTTTGATTTACTATCGAGCTTGAGGAGCCTAGAGTTCTCTTCGCTTTCTCCATTGTGTAACCAATCAACACCTTTATTTCTAGTATACAATTGCTGCAATTGTGTGAAATTTGGTATTCTTGCCTTTGTCTTGACAAAAAGCTTCAGCACCATGTCTCTTTAGCAAGAAATGTGTAGAAACAAACGGTCCATACCAAAAAAGCACCACTAAAATGTATTTATTGAGAATCAACAACACTTTGCAGTGAACAAGGAATCACTGAAGAGTCTGTTTTACTATCACTTTATTTACCATGTTATATTCATTTCATACCTTAAATCAGAACTGCACAGACTGCACACAAAACGAAGCTAACCTTTTCAAATAACAAATGTTGACATAGGCTGAAATTCGAGAAGACAGCTCATTGAAATGACTGAATATGTAGATCAATAGGAAACTTTCAATTTCCACAAACTCATCAAATAAACATCTTTTTCTAACTTTAATGGAGAAATCAAGCAAGAAAGTCAGAATAGCAAACAGAAGAATTACAAGAAACAACATGATCTTGAACTTTTAAAAGTCACCTGATTGTGTGACACTAAAAATCATGAAATGAAGATGCAGCAGCCACTGAAGTGTGTTCCAGAAGTTGCAGCATCAACACAAAACATGATACTTGTTTACTCATGTAGGAATTGAAAACATTCAATATTTTTCTGCACTTTGCAGTGTTAGATATACGCATATAAACCCTTGTGATGCAACTTTTCATTAGTAAGATCGTATGTGCATTATGAATCTGTTGAAAACATTTTAAAACTATAGCAACTGCAAACATATTAATGACAGAGAAGAACACTGTTATCCAGAAAATTAAATGGACCAGCCATAAACACATTTATAGCTACACCTGCATATCCAAAAGCAGATAGCCTGCTGCGATTATCTCACGAATCCCAAAGTCTTTGCACTACTCACAAGACACAAAAGTGTATACCTGGCTGGATAAATACCACTCTTATAGGGCTCAAGAGGCTCAATCCAAGTCAAAGCCCAATTGACTTGGTGCACCATTTATGAAATTAAACATTCATTCTCTTCTCCACAGGTGTAAAGTATTTTGCAATGCAGACTTCACACAAGATGCACTGCAACAACTGACTGAAGTTTCAACAGCACCCTCCAATCCCGCAACATTTCTGACCTCAGAGGACAAACAGAAACAAGAGAAATCTGCTCAATACTTCCAAGCATGCAAGACAAAATGTTATTTCCAATGCATAATGGACTGGTTCTATATTTCTAGCATTCATGTTTTTCTTTTCATAATCATACAAAAAAAAATCATATTTTCTGGTGACTAAATACAAAGCAGGTTTATTTTTAATGCCACAGAAGCTGTAAATGAATCTGGAACACAGAATATCCAATTAAGATCTATAAATATACAAAGGAGTTGTTGGAAACCATATTTCTCATTCTCTGGAGCATTTTGTGGGCAAGCAACTCTTTTACAATTTTAAGTCACAGAGGCCAAAAAAAAAGTCCCCCAGTACAAGCTTGGATCGAAGTTAAAACTCTGGTATCAGTCAAGCTACAGTTGAGTGCTGCCACTGGGTTCAGTGTCCTGGACTAGGTAGACAGTAGGGAGGTGATGAGAGAATATCAAACTTTCTCATAGTGACTGCAATGCACTTACCCTTCCTGAAATTTGGGCATGTATGAAAGTCAGATATAAATGGGGTTTCAGTTCAGCTTTTGCATCTACTGCCTGCACACATTGCCTGATAGTGAAACTATGAAAGGGCATCTGGTATCATGCAACAGAGCCAAGAGCAAAGCCATTTAGGAGAACAGAAAATAAAACATACAAGATAAAAAATGTGCTTGTTTCACATTCACCATGAAGGTTTGACAAACTCCACTGAAAAAGAAAACCCAAATCTGTTCAACAACTACCTCAATAGAAAAGGGCCATTACCCATCTAACCATTACAACATTCAATGTGAATCAGTTATTTTTCTTCTGGAGCTTCTTCCCTCGACAGGGAGGCCACACTGCTATCCCATCTGGCTTCACTGGAGCGGCACATACAATAGTGAGCCTATTGTATATCATCCAATATACTACAGACAGCCTGAGAGAAACTGGGTCCAGTTACAATTGGGTTGGAACGCACAGCTGCAGTCTAAGTTGAATCCATCCATACTGAAAATGCAATTAGTAGGCAGCTGCTCTACTTCAAACATTCACAGACTGTTGGCATTAGAATCACAAAAATCAATCCTGCTTGCTGGTACCAGCAATTAATACAGCTCTTAGGAAATAAGGCAGCACCCTTCATAATTCCTCCAAAATATAACAAGTGACTGATTAGCAACATTAAGGATTTTCACAATGAGATCACATTAATTAATATATTAAAAATAATGTGCCAGCAGTAAGATTATAAACAGGTGAAACTCAATGATTTGTCAGAAACAACAGGTGATGACTTTGCATTGGGTGGTTTTAACCTGGAACCAAATCTGACAACCAAAATGACTTACAATTTTCACCAAATGTTTAAGTCTTATAATTACTTAATTTTGAAAAATGATGTCTTGCGCAATAAAGATTTATTTTAAAATATCCAATTTTATAAAATGATATGCTACCCATCCAACTGTTAATATTACCACAGGTGAACTGCTGATAAAAGAAAAGAAACAATACATCTAGCATGCATGTCTCCATCTATCAAAATTCATGTCCTGTTGCAATTGTCCACATCACACTTCAAAAGCTTAAGAAAAGCAGTCATGTGAATGTTCAAAATTCCTCTAACAATTCAACATATCTTCACTCAAGTACCAACTATCAGTACTACCTTATCAATTACACTTCAAGCCAGGGCTCTGAATCACAGGCAGAACATTGACACTGTGACAACGCCTGTATTCATTTAATACCAATTAGATTTTGTGGCCCTAAATAAGAAACCAAGTGGTCTTGTGGCACAGTAGCGGTGACCCCTGGATCGGCAGGTTCGGGTTCAAGTCCGGCATCAGGCTGTGATGACTAGAGGTGTGTCATAACACATCCATTCAGGTCAATAAAAGTTTGGTAAAACATTACTTTCTTCAGCACAAAACTAAATTATGTAATAAAATCTAAAACATTCCTGCCTTATAGAATATATAATTAGACTTACCGTGGATGTTCCATCAGCAGGTCAACGAATCAGATGGGTATATAACGTGCCAAAATTGGTATGCATGTGTTTTACTTTTCTGTACTGTATTAAAACTTCAACCTTACACTGGCACATATTTGTCTTAAACTTAAGTCATGAAAAATAATAGTCACAACAGAAATGGTAAATAATATACCAGACAGCAAGGGAGTTAGAATTTACCAACCCAAGAATTTCATAAATTCAACTCAAGAGACATACAGCAACCGACACTCAAAAACAAAAACAAAAATGTGTTGAAAATAATTTTAAGCCAGTTTGGTTCCTCCATCAAATTGAACTGCAATTGTAAAACAAAGGTTTGCACCATCATAAAGTTTGTACAATTAACTCAAACAACACAATTTTATATATGTAAATGGTACTGACACAAGTTTTCTACCTCATTGCAGCAGAAGCCTGTGCTTCTGATTATGCAGTTAGGCAGTCTCATTACCACCAACATAAGTGACTTGTATGGTGAAGGGTTTTAATTCCAAGGAAGGAAGATTTGCTGAAAGCAAGACAACTGCAATGCTTCTACTAATCAGCCTTACCCCGCAATTCTGCCTCATCAATGGAAAAATCTAGGATGCCAAAAGTAGGTAGTTTTCTTGCTTAGGTCACTCAAAAGCATGAATTGCTAATGTAGTTTTCCTGCCAAAAAAAATGAGTTCACTATATTTAAGGGATTGATTTTGCTGGATAAAATATTTCCACCTCAATTAATGCCATGAGTAGTATTGAAAAACTAGTGCCACCCCTAGCCAAACTGTTCCAGTATAGTTAAGAATGTCATTGATCCAGTCTTGTAGACAGGACATAACTGGATAGTTTTCCACAAAAAGCAGGACAAACCAAACCCAACACAACCAATTATTGCTACATTTGTCTTTGCTTGATCATCAGCTAAGTGATGCAAGATGTCATCAGCAGTGCTATCAAGCTTCACTTACTCAACAATAATCTGCTGACTGACACTCGGTTTGGGTTCCGTCAGATCTATTCCATTCCTGACCTCATTGCGACCTTGGTCCAAACATGGAAACAAAAAGATCTGAACTGTAGTGGAGAAAGTTAGGGTAATTGCTCTTGACATCAAGGCTGCATTTCATCGATCAAAACTGGACTCAAATGGAAATTGGGGGAAAACTTTCTAGTGGTTAGAGTTTTAATTAAAACAAAGGAAGATGGTTAGTAGTGGTCAATGATCTCAGCCACGAGACATCAAGGAGTCTCAAACATCTTCAAGTGCTTCATCAATAACTTTCTCTCCATGTGTACCACCCAGGTACCAAGCAAAGACCATTTTCACCAAGACGGAATCCGAACGCCACCCTTCAACGTTCAATGACATTACCAGTGTTGAAGGCCCTACTACCAACAGCAAAATCTTTTGTTCTGTCTAGTTCTATATGACACTTTGCTGGGTAAGCCATAAATTAATGATTGTGTGAAATGTCCAGCCAAAGGTTCAAATCATTGGAGCATCACATGACCTTCTCAATGTGCTCAGAGTCATAGAGGTCTACCACATAAAAAAGGCCCTTTAGCCCATCCTGTCCTCAATGGTCAAAAACCACCACCTAACTATTCTAACCCCATTTTCCAGCACTTGGCCC